AAATTAGGCGTCTCGGATTCTTTAACGTTATAAATTTCTGATGATTTTGAATCACCTAAAGCAACAATACCTATTTTTCCACTGCCTAATCCTCAATTAACACTATAACTAGTTAAATTTAATAGTTTCAGGATATCGTCATAAAGCATTGTCATAACTTGACAATCACGTAATATGACTGATAAAATTAATAAAACTATTAACGAAATCGGTCAACAAATTGACTTATAATTACCATTAAATGGTGTTGTTTTCTTGGTATCTTTATCCATCACAGATGATTACAGTATGTTTCTCTATCAGTTGCTCATTCAATAAATATCTCAAAACCTTGTCAGTCTAATTGGAGGTTTAGCGACACAATCATGCATGCAAATAATCAGTATAAGCAGTCGAGCAAATCTCCTGCAAACTGAAAACATCAATGTCGAATTTACCCCAACACTGACTAAGGTTCAAGCCATTATCATAGAAATGAGTTGGGAGTGTACTCCCCCTGGTTACAACTCATGTTCTCCCTGATAATCACATGAGCATCACTCACTATTAATCATCTTGTAAAAACTTATTTAGCTAAATACATTTTGCAGCACCACATCACTTCGTAATATGACCCATAGGCTTAACTGATTTTAATAACTTGTAACCACTATATCTCAATTAAATCGTGTTCCCCATTATAATAATCTGCATACTTGCAACTAACTTGTATGCCCAAGCAGCCGGCAAGTATAAATACAAATAAATAGTCTGCCACAGATCAGAACATTGAGTCTAGAGCATGTCTCATACGAATACACTCATTTTTAACGATTTGCTTCTAGCTATCTGTCCAAAATTCACATAATTATCACTCACGTATTTAAATATTGTTTTGATAACCATTCATGTGTATTAGTAGTATTACTAAATTCTATCACGGTCAAGTAAAAATGAGGTTGAGAAAATCTCCCCGTAACTAAATAAACCGTATCAAACTAACTGGAACACTAGTTGGAATTCTTTTCCATGGTAATACTTTTGTTCCTTCAGTTAGCCTACTGATACAGATGCAATTGGAAATCAACTCTTATGGACAACATACCGGCATAATCGTTATCCGATTTCATAATTTAAACCAAAACTAATACCAATATTAACATTTCTACAATATTCATTATTTTAATATTTCTAAACACAAAATAATTACTACCTATAAGTTAAGTTATTAACACGCATCGTTTCATTATTATTATTATAATCTCATTTTTATAGTTCAAATAATCTTCACCCAAATTTTCATTTCAAGCGTTTTAAGCATGAAGGCAGATATTTTAAAATTATTACATGTATTTCCCGACCAGATGCTGCCGCTTTCTTTTTGATTTATCTTTCAGCTTACCAATACCCGGAGGATTCTTATTATCCTTGGTAACCTCCGGCGCGCGACGATCCCATCCAATTTGGTATCGAACCAACATCACGTTGATTCTGGTGGGAGAGTAGTGTAGTGGCATTGGACAATAGCCACACAATCCACAAAGCTGTGAACACGAGACTACTCAGAAAATAGATATTCAATATTTAACGCGGAGAAAAACCTAACAATGGAGAAGGCGCGGAGAATGAATTGAATGGACTGGAGTTGATCGAGTGGCATGGCTCGGCCATGCAGGCGTGGTCTCTATTCATATTAAATATATTGTTCTTTCTCCAGCCTAACCTTCTTCCTCATCATGTATTGGTAATTGATACGATACAGTGAGTTGGTGTAGTCGATGGTGTGACTTCCACGTAAGATCTTATAGATTAGGCAGTTATATCATGGCAAATCGACAAGTTTAGGATTAGGTCTATTATTAGAGCAGTACTAATATCATAGTAGATCATAGTTCTACAAGCTCATCGGATTGATAATGATAAACTTCAATAATATCGAATCGAGATTGTTATTATACAGAAAATGTATCTTACCCATTCTTGAATATGGTATTTTAGTTTACAGTAATTGCAGACATAATGACCTGATTAAAATTGAAGGTGTTCAAAGAAAGTTCAACAAAGCTGTTCTGGGGTATTCTGATAACAAAGACTATCACCAAAGATGTCAACAACTCAATTTAGAACCTCTTTGGATCAGACGTATCGAATTAAATCTTGTCTTTATCTACCGGCTTATTAACGGTATTTCCTACTCTTCGGTATCCACCCCTACATACCTTATGATATCGTCCCACAATCTACGCAATAAGGAGAATATTCTAGCGATTCCAAGAGCCCATACAAACTTACGTCAGAATTTGAAGAAACCCGAAATGGTTTCTTCACAACACTTATTTACCCATAAGATGTTTGTGAATAATAATAATAATAATAATAATAATAACAGAGTTGTGAAGAACCGACAGAAGCCAATCCTCTACAACCTTCTTTCATACCGCAACACCATGTCATACACTTCACACTTCTCTGTATTTTCTAACCGGTCCCAAAATAGGCAAATAATGCATGACGTGGGACTCGTTTTGACAACATGTTTTACGAAAACAGTCATTGTCACTATAACTGTATGTATGTATGTATGTATGTATGTATGTATGTATGTATGTATGTATGTATTTGGAATAATGAATTCAAATATCACATTAGGTGTCTATTCAAACGTTTGGACCATTGCGGATAACAAGATCACTTCATTTAGGTATGATTATAAATTACTGATGTAATAACCAAACTACACCGTAGTTGCAAGTCATAAAAGTCCTTAAAATTGAAGCAGTGCAGTCCAATAATCAACTTTATATCCAGTGAACTAATATTTCTGCCTCGTGAATAACTCAGATTCATTAACTTTTTACAATCATGTAATATTCCTGACATTTTTGAATCTTTAAACATAGATTCGGTACTAAGAACAAACGGAATAAATATTCAGTATACATAACAGGTACTGACACCCCAATGTAACAAAGTCACCATATTGGAAATCGGAAATATTTGGGCCAACTCATTACCCAAGTATAGAAGGTTGTGTGAATAATAGCTTGTTAAGGAATCTGTAGGATACCAGATACCGAAGGACAAGACGGGATGAAAGATCTCAGCACTACATTGAGATGGTGATAGTCCATTGCCATTAGGTGGCTATGATAAGGTCCAGGTATTCTGACACCGCTTCAGCAGCGTATATACTGTAGAGGTGCCCTTTCCTCGGGTACAAATGATTCGTTCTATCCACACTCCTTACAATAAGACTATGAGATGTTCTTGGCCTCTAAAACAAATTAGGTAATGTCGATTCTATGAAAATCGATGAAATGTAGCGTTGATAACAAAAGTAACTTACAAACTTCAAACCTTTAATCACATGCTTTAGTCTATCTATAACCCAAAGTAGAACACCAAGCTACTAGAAGAATGCCATAGTTACCTCCGTCTTCAAAAAAGATGCGACTCATAAACCTGCGAGTAACCAGTTCATGAGATTAAACAGATTGGTTGCCAAGATTCTACAAGAGATTATCCCCAATGTGTTGTGCATTTATGTGATCTAAAGCTACCAATAGATGTAGCGTTCGCCGATTTCAGTATGATTTTTGACGACGTTCTATGAGACAAGTTCTTACTTAGGTGATAGGGGATTTTCATATAAGTAATTTGTTTATGTAAATGACTCCGTAATTCAGCACCAACAACGAGTACGGGTTAATCACGAGTTGCTCCACTGGAAAAAGGTGCTCAGTGGGGAGCCTCAGCAAATTCATGGGAAATGTATGATTTGGTTTACATTTAAATATCCTTTCTTGTATCCTATGATAATCGGTTTCGTTGTGTGCCGAGGATATCAAGTGAGGGCAACGAAAAATGAGGGAGATAGTTTAGAGCTTCAGAATGATTTGCAGAAATAATCAAAATTACCCAGAATTTGATATTCCTCGATAAATATTTCTAGATGTATGATGATTAAAATTGGTCACCGAGACACAAACACATATACTGTGAATATTATTGAGCTACCTACTGATTAGGCACAATGACGTGGTGGTCATTGTCAGTCAAGATTTAGAATCAGTACACAGTGTTATACATTCGTTCATAAAGGTCTTAGAACTCCCTAGAAAATACGTAGAGCCTTTAGCCACGTAACTGTCAATATAGTTTTCATTTTGTAGGTACAGGTGTTACATAGAAGCATTTGGCTTCCGCTATAAGTAAACAGTGAACGTTTGTAGAAAGTTCAAATAACAGAAACTAAGTTGAGTCTCTGGAAGCTGCTGTATGACGAGAAAATGGCTAAACTAAGCCGTCAGAGAAAGACAACTTTTAAGATACCACAGGTATTTGCAGTTTAGCAACACTTTACCAGTAACATTCATAGTTGAATCGTGCTCACCCAATGAAAAAGTCAGAAGGGAGTAGGTTCGAAGATATATTTGATAGGTTATCGATATATCGAGAAGTGAGTGATTTAAACTGGCTAACAGTCGCAGGAGGAGTTTAACACGGCGTTCCCACTCGTGATCTGGTGCGAATGCATGACCGAGAGTCTTCAGTTAGGTGGGTCCATTAAAACTAATGTGGTCAGCATCAAATGTCAATGACTTATAGTGTTATTGAGTTTGTGGATTTATTAACCTCTACAACTTAATTGCAATTCCAAGCAGTTAAGCATGTGACATGCTCCAAACCTTCGTATCCTCCAAAATGGAGAATCTGTGAGGGAGTTTAAAAGGGGTTCACAAAGCAAGAACAAACTGCGTATCAGCTACCTACCAAATTTTTTCTTAGAATAGTTGTTGAGTGGAAGTCTTTACTTCACTGAGAGATTTAAATTTGATCTGTCAATACCTTCAAGGAAAAGTTGGATCGAATAGCAAATCTTCGTTGTCAGAACCAATATAAACCATTCAGCCTCCTGTCCATTTCAAACTGGAAATGAAACATCAAATACTTCACACCCAAACTAGTAAGCATCAATCCAGATTGAAGACACAACTCCACCATTTTTTAAATTTGAATAGCTTAGCCTTTAGGAGTCCAACGTTAAACTCCGTTTCTGAAAACCACTTTGTTTGTTCATTTAGTACTGTAGGCCTTTCAAATGACCTTTACGAGCGCTTAGTATGGCTATGTGAAATGCCGTCGCTAATGTTTGTTGTTCATCGTTAACAATTTTTATGCTTACATAGTGTCCATTGTTGCACGTGGAACGTCGGTGATGAAAAACCAGGAAGCGAAGACCTCTCTACCCTTCTTGGAGTTAACGCAAAACCATCACCCGATGTAATAAGCGTTGCGTAAGTTCTCTGTAAAGTTATAATTCACTTCATAGACTTCAAGAAGTCTGTGGAGATGACGCATGGAGACAAAAGCTACTGGAACACTTGTATCCTCATGGTTATGTGCTGGTAATCATTGTGTTAGTGGCCGTCAACCTTGTAAATTCACTTGAATAGATCAAGTCACGTAATTGTTGGGCCATTTGGATTTTTTCGTTTCTGAAGAGAAACCTTTTGCCTGCAGTCACAAATATTGAGTCCGAGGTAACAGCCTCAGGATATGCTGGTGTCATGGTTTGTTTGATGCTTAGACATATTTGAGGTTTTAAGGGAAATAAGGGTGGGGTTAGTGCGAGATTTGAACTTTGTGGGATAAACATGATCTTTCTTTCGTGTCATTTTACTGCCCACAGAGAAAACAAGCAAGATCGGTTAAATGTAAGCAGTTTCCTTTTTTGTTTATATCACAGGATTATATCGATATTATAGATCATCAGAGTTTTAGGGATGAAGATGTCAATGTCATCATTGATCATGAGTGAGTTATGTCTCGTTTTTGATAAATCCCAAAAGTTATGTTTTCTGGATGGGTGATTTAAATTTTCGTATCGATCACCTCAAAAAATCTGAAGTGGAGTTAATGGTCAAACAAAAACGTTTTAACGAACTTCTACAGCATGATCAAGTAAACTAACATACTATATATCTGTATTTTAGCTTCTTAATATGAAAAACGAAAAATTGTTATTTCATGATTTTAATGAAGGCACTATATCCTTCCCCCCAACCTTCAAATTTGACAAAGGAACGGATACATACGACAGTAGGTAATCACACATTTATTCATTGCGTTAACACAACTTGCTTCGTAGTTACTTTAAGTGGTAATAACTACTCCACTCCATATAATTAATTTAATGTTCTTGTCTAACCTGTATAACTCGTCCTGTACATAGATATATTTTGATTTGAGGCAAATTCTTCCTGGAGTATTAGTTTTGCTGGCTAAGAGTTTGAAATGTTTTCCCCATAAGTTTACAAAGAGTTTAAGATACCGCCAGAAAGAGTAAATCAATTTACGAAGTTACAGTGGTAGCATTCCTCGTTTCTTATAACCGTTGGCCACGTGGAAAAGCATTTTAAGGAATTCCTTCAATGTTGGTTTGCTATATTTGGATTGCTTTAATCATATTGATGTATTTTCGTAGTTGTGTTACGCTGTGGTATAATTACCACTTGCAAACAAATAACTAGTTTGATATGAATTTTATCCTTCTACATATTAATTGTACTACAGAAATAAATTGAAGCGAGATCAACCTTATCTTTCTATAATGAATAGTTATTGAGTTTCAGTATGGTGACTAGTTTACATTCCTCACTACAAACGAAAGAAATTAGCTGAGTTTCTTGCTAGTTATATTTACGAAAGTTACTTTGTTTTATACAATTAAAGCTCGTAAAAATCAGAGTTGGTTACTTGTTACTCTGGGGAGGTCATCTACTGTTTCCAAGTTTAAAGTAGAAATTTCGAAAGGGAACTGATCCGATTGTTTAGAAGGTTTTGACATGTTTCGTTTTCTGGCCCCAAAAAGAAATCGTTCACTTAAATCATTTAATAAGTAAAGGCTCATATTCACGGCTTTGAGCTAGATGTTTTGCACGAGGGCTGTTGACAGATGTTATGCAATTATCCAAAAATAAGTAGTTGGGGTGGGCCTCGAATTTTCTGCCCTTGGGTCAAAAGTCAAGTGCTCTAATTTCTACCAACTCTATTATCATTTTGCCAGCTAAAACTATTATCTAGAAAGTATTTAAACCTATACTATTATTTTATCGTAGTAAAAAGCAGCGCGTTCCTGCGTGGACAGACCGTATATTGTATATGGTTCACCGAGATTTCGCTCTTGATCACCACCTTAACCTCCCTGAAAGTGACCGACAGAGACCAGCTAGCCCATCCCGTCGATTACCTGTACGTGGATCACCATCCGAAGTGGAAGAAAAGTTCCCAGCAAACAAATCTATCAAAGGGAGACAACACCCTGAAGCCGTTTTACTCAAGTATACTAGTTTGAATGAATACAAAACTTCGGATCATCGGCCAGTTATCGCAGTATTCAAATTATCTGTGCCTCCAAGATGGTTTAGCTTACCTGTCAAATTTATTGAGCCAGATGGCAAAGGTAGGAATTTTTACTGTGTTTCATTGATTTCACTCATATAATGTGTCCCATTTTTGAGTCTTGACTAATGATAGTTAATGTTACTCTAGTAATTCAGTACTTTCACCTTTAATAAGCCCCTCAATAACTTAACTAGCTGATGTAAGTGGTCGGTTTTCTGATCATAACTCATCACACTATTATTCTAACAAACAAAACTGTTTGTAGATCTATGATTTAATACTGATCAATATCTGTATATATTTTAAGTTGTGCTTGTTGAAAATAATACCATTAACGCAATGTCGTTTTGTGATATGTAATATCGTTCTATTCATTACCATATGATTCGTACAAGGTGGTTATATATATATATATATATATATATATATATATATATATATATATATATACAGCGTAGAATGAAACACTATGATATTCTTGTTTATTAACATGTGAAATTTTCAGACACTGGTCAGTGCTACCCTCGTGTGATACATACACTTTATTTGTCATTTTTTCGGGTTTGCAGCTGTTAAATAAATTATTGTATTATGTTAGCTAAAAGTGACGGGGATCATAATCGCGTACAGTGGTTCAAATACACTCACCCTTTTGTCTTCCTTTAGACCCTAAGTTTATTATATCTTTTCTAAAACCCATATTTCCTCGAAATATATTGTTTTTCTCTAATCTTTTATATTAACAGTGATAGTGCTAATACTTCTATTGTTGTGACATCTCTGTGCTTATGTGATCTGACAACTTGATCCAGTACACACGTACCAGGCTATACGCTGTGTCTTACTGACTGAAAACAATTAGTGGACTTCCTAGATTTGCTGATTGATTAGCTAACTAATGTATGTTTCCACTTATTTTAGAAATATATCCCACGTATGCTTACTATAACTGGGTTATGAAAGCTATTTAATAAAATGATCTTAATGTAGTAGAATTTTGAGGTATTGCTTAAATAATCATTCGAAATCAAGTAATTTAAAGTGTGGTAAAACATTTCACTACAGAAGGAACTGTCAGTGTTCCGAGTTTGACGTTTGGATGCTGATCTAATTGAGTTGAAAGTCTAGTCCCAATCTCAGCATTTTGTGGTGACTGGAGAGCTTTAATGAATATTAAGCATCTAAATTGGTCCTCTATTAATGAACGTAACATGAACTGTCCATGCTTCCTGTTGACAATATTTGCCAAACCACCATAATCATCGGCAATACGTTTTACCAAATTTTGACACTGATTTTGAACACTAAATGACAAAGATGATTCATTGAATATCTCTGACAGTTGGTCCACCGTCTCCTCTGAAATGATCTCTCGAGGCTAATTCGGGAATATGTAGTCAGCGTAGCGTACGTGTTCCTTACTTTCTGACGTACGCATCAACTATTGAGTCTTCCACGCGTCATCTTGTTTACCGAATTCTATTCTAAACGCTTCTTCCAACGCTTGCACCACGTGAGGACAGTATTTCCACTTTCTGGGTCAATATTGACTTCCGGGTATTTGCTGGCAACTGGATCGCAAGAAGTATTTAATAGCATGTAAACCCAAGCAGTGGATGTTAAGCTGCTGAGTCAGAGTTTCTAACAACCGCATTTATTCGTCAAGTCGTTCTTGCTGTTGTTGCCGAATTCGGTTGATCTGGTTGCTTGATCCGCATCTTGAATGTTTACCTTTCCCGTCGCCACTCTTATAATCTCCCTTGTTACGACCCAACTACTCACTGCTTAGTATTCTTGGGACACTACTTCACTCGACAAGTCCCCAAACTAGAACACGGTAGGACAGAAGTGCGACTACACTCCAAATAATCCGGGTTGAATGGAAGTAGGAATCACAATAAAAAGACTTTAATATATTTATAATTTTACACAAGAAGATCCTAGAGTGTTCCCCAAATATTCGCTAGCGCTGATTGAGTGAGAAATGACCAATCAGCGTGCCAAAATACAACCCTGGACGGAACAAGTTTTAATCCAATCTATGTCCCGCTTATAGGAACATACGTACTTGTGAGTATACTTTGGGAATGGAAAGTAGTCATTATGAAAGCAAGCTCGTGCAAGATATATTGAAGTACTCCTATATTTCACTTGTAATAAAAATCTGCCAGTATGTCGATACAGGTTTAAATCGAAGATGTGTCATGCGACCACCACATATTCTTTGGAATTCAAATGGTTCATTTTTTCCTACTCATCTACCTGGTTACATTAGTTCACATCGACGTCATTCATCTACATATTTGATAGGGTTAATAGGGTAGAAAAAATGGTAGCGTTTCCTGGTATATAAAAGCTTGCTAGCAATTTGTTTATGACTTCAATTTTCGTTTATTATATCATGTTTGTACTGTTGTGTTTGAAAGAACTTCACTTGATTCTTATCTTCTAAATATTCTAGCATATTCATTCAATGCCAATTTGGAAATATCGTACCAAGTTCTCGATCCACCCGGCCTATTAAGGCTTTCAGAAACAAATTCATTACTTTCATCCAAACAATATGTTCCAGTATCTGATTTTGCCAAACTACTCTTATTAAATACACTAGGACACTCTTCAAAATCGGGAAAATCAGAAAGCACAAATGATGATGATTTAGGCCCACTGGCTCCACCAACTTTACAAACTACATCATTTGACTGGATAGCCCTTTACCCAGCAGAATTTGCAGATCTGGAAAAAGATTATATAACCTACGTTTATGCATCAAGTAATGTATCTCAAGCGAAGCATCGAAAAAATTCTGTTTCTTCCGCCCTATTGCAGCCTTCAAATACAGCGAAATTTCAAGAGTTATATAGGGCTAGAATTGAATCAAGTCGATTAAAGGATTTACCTGGTCAATCATTTTGTCTTGTTTATATGAGTCGCAATAAGCACTGTCCTCAGGGTTATAGTTTACCTTTCAAAGTGAGTTTCTGGCGAATAAGTCAGTGACTATATACTGCATTTTATGTTTATCTAAAAAATGGTCATATTCGATTTGACCGATATAACTCTTAGCTAGTTCAACATAAAGTAAATTACATTTTGCTTTATAATCTTGGAGAAAGGCTCGTTTACGTCTATTTTATAAGTGTTTGACAAATTAGAATACTCGATGTCGAAGTAAAATGTTTTATATCTTCGGGATTATGTCCATACCATGTGGGTTCGGAATTTTTGACCCGAATGTGTGGAAGTATTTTGTTCAGTGTTTCTTCATTAAACCGACTAGAAGCTCTAATTATCCAAACTAGAAGAATCAACAAATTAATGAAAATTCTGTAGGACCTCGACTACTTGTAGTCTCGACCAGTGAAACAACAATACTGTGTGTGATTGATCAACTTTTGCGGGTGAGATTTCATTTTTGAATGTAATCATTCCTTCTTGAATGTAACAATTGATTTACAGTTCTTGTTGTGTATGTTTGACTTTATTGTTGGATTCCTTGGGATAATTTTATTGCGTAGCTAAGGGCTATGCTGCGTTGCTCAAAATCGGTTGCATTAGGAAAGATGCATTCATTCTTTATCTACTCCTGTCTTGACTTTAACACTTTTTCGTAATCTTGATTACCTATTGTCGTTCATTTGATTTAAATCGTATTCGTTAAATTCAGTTTCTACGCCATTGCCACCATATTTTTAGTCTCATTGTCAGTCTTGCTAGTTATTTTCTTTTCTATGCTGATGTAAAACGTGATAACGCATACCGATGTATATTTGTGGAAAACCCTAAGTTCTTTGTGTCCGTTTCTGTGATTGTAATTATATTCGCTTACTACAAACAGTTTTACAACCTTTAAAGCCTTCAAAGAATCAAACCATGCTCCCTAAAATTGTAGTCCCAATTTATCATCCTATTTTTCTACCACTAAGTAACTGTTTTGTTAGTTATATTGTGGCTTCAACTTTCAGTGAATTCAGTCTATTACGATACGTAAGCCGTTTACGTATGTTTGTGAGTGTACACACTACGTACTTATATAGTTATTGTCAGATCAGAGGCAATTTTATACGTATAAACACTATCCTGTATTTATGAAAGAACTTTTTGCATATAATATAAAGATAACTAAAATATAGCCTAATAATCTTGCTGATCTGTTAATCCCTATTATTAATCATATATATATATATATTCAAAGTGATCCTAGATTATTATACGTCAGCGATTTCTTCTATATGGTTATTAGTTTGTCTTTTGTATATGTCCTTTTTGATTTTATATCTATCCTATCTTACCTACAAGATAATTCTACTCAGTTTTTCACCTCTTTAACACACTCTTCATATCAGATTCGTACTGTAAGTTTGAAAACTTAGAATTCATTATATATGCATAACAATCTGATGAGTCGGCTAACACGCTAATGATTACATACATACTCGTTGTAGATACTTATTACACATCTAAAATAACCGATTTGTTACATTTTCTCACCTTTCACAACATAATATCGAGAACAGTATATATTCATTGTTTACTCTTAATTAGTTTCTGTCTTTTCTATATACCCCTTCTTTGCTGTTATAAGATGCCGTAGCTTTGGTAGTTACGCACATTTACCAAGTCGTATACCGTTTTGTGTATATTAGCGTTCTCTTCTATACTTTATAATATACTACTTTAATTAACAAATATATGACACTTTATACAGTTATTGTTTTCTGTACATAATGTTTGACAGTTAACACGTAATTATTTGCAAGTAAATACTGATCATTCTTTTATTTGTGAAAACTGTTTAACACCAATCCTACTTAAAGTATATCACTGGTTCCATTAATCCTTAACCATTAGCCTAACTGCATAATTTACTGTATATTGTGGGTTTCTGCTTCTCGTTCTTCCTGTTTTCCGAAACCCTTTGAGTATTAAAAAACGACACATCATGTGATTGTCAAAACTAATATATTAAATAATTTTAAAAAAAATTATATTTAATTCTTTATAGGTTAAAAAGTTAACGAAATTAAAGAAATTACTACCGAAATTTCTTTTATCTAAAAGAAAACCATCGTAATAAGTAATTATAGTTGGTAATATAATCTTGTTTATTGTGTAGAATTTGTGTTATAAAAATTATATATAAAGATATCACTTTTGTTTTTAGCTATACCAAGTTTTTGTTTTTCATTTGAAAATGATTTTGTGTTGGTGATGGGGTTTCAGGGTTGATGATCTTATTTAATAAAATGATGATAACATGTCGAATCTATCAACTATATAGTTGATTCTCTTGAAGCAACCTCAATTTTTTGTTATGGGTGATTGATGCACTTAAAATAATTGTGATAAAGCATTTTTAACTATGTAGCCTATTTTTATCTACACAATTATTTCAAATTATATTAAACGTCATTAATCCATGTTAACTCATACTGAAAGTAACCACTTTAATAAGACTATGTATGTAATGAATAAAAGTAAAGAGATCTTTAAAACTGAAGCTCAATCACCATAGATTTCACTGATGGATTGCTATGTTTAACGATTTATGTGAGTTTCATTGCCATTCTTTAGGTAACTGAAAGTTATTTTTAATTGTTGGCTTTCGTTTTAGAATGATGTATCTTCCTTAAATCAGTGTACATTCGAATTAAAACTTAATTGGGATTTAAATGCATGCTGTAAACCTTATAATAGCATTCATTTAGCATCATCGAATGGCCAATAGTAACGATTTGCTTAGTATAAATTACATTCGAAGATAATGTTCTTCGTGGGATGACATAAACTAGCGAATCATTGAAGGCAAAATAACACTGTTTTGTTACAGCTAAGGGTCTCAAAATAGTACGCACCTATCACACCATACATGGGATTAAATGTTGACATTCAAGGTTCATGGAAAATGTGATATTATTCAGCTATCTAGTATGTGTTTAACTCGGCTCTAAATCATACTGTGTTAAAACTATGACATCTATTCATCTAAACCATAGATTATCATTAAATGTACCTTCCTATTATTGACAAACATTTTTTTGGAACAATGCACAAATCACATCATCATTCAAGCTAGAAACTATTAACTGATAATCATATTAGCTGGAACCTTGTATATTTTGAATAGATCCAAGTCGTTAAACTTTATAACAGTACATAAAAAGGAAGATAATTAATAACTGTAATGCATTAAATTAATCAAGAATATTGATTAAGGATAGAATATAAATGACAAATAACAGTTCTTATTACATAGAAGTAACCAGTATATTACTACGTTTTAACCTAATTTTATTTTAAACTATATTATATAGGTTCTCCATTAACATTTTCTATTATACGAAAGAGTGCGATAAGAGAATCTCCTTGCTTATGCGTAATCCAAGAAAATGGTCAACAGTTTAATTAATAATCAGGTGTTTTGCAATATTAATTTAAGTTGTAAACTATGACAGTGTTATAGAAATTCCATAAATACAATTCTAGAAACTAGGACATATAATTTTATACAAACAATGATTATCACTTTAAAATAAAAAAATAACAGTTGTAAAATATCTTAACGAAATTTAATACAACTTAGTAATTGAGTATAAGTTCATGTATATTTTTAAGTGGGAACTATCAGTAGTATCCAAGTGACGTAAATGCTTTAACTATTAAAAAATTGCCTCTATATGTATTATGTGTCTACTACGTACTTAGATTTTCCTTATACTTAAATACTGTAATAGAGTACAAAAACAAATATTAAATATGTCTTACAATTTGTATCGATTTTGACCATTTTAATTAAAACGACAACAGTTAAATGAAGTTATTTTATGACTAGAAAAATTTCCCGTCTAGTATTCTAACAACTATTGGCCGTATGATTTGTTTCCATACGTTATTTATACATAATAACAGACAGATTTAGTTCAAGTGTTTTATAAATCAAGTGTAATGTAAACATCTTAAGAAATAATCACCGGAAACTTCGAAATTACTTACTTATACCCGTTACTTGTCATGAAGGAGAATGGGTCGCCCACCAGCATTCTCTATCGAACTCTGTCCTGGGTAATACTTCCCGGTTGTTCTTGATTGCTGATCATTATTTCCGTGTCTCCCTTCGATTCCCAAAGTAATGTGTTCCTTAGTCTGCCACTTTTTTTATTACCTTCAGCATTCCAAGTTACAACTTGCCTTGTGATGCAGTTTGGTGATTTCCGCAATGTATGTTATATCCACTTCCATAGTCTCTTCTTAATTTCCTCTTCAGCTGGAAGTTGGATTGTTCTCTCCCACAGTAGGCTTTTGTTGATGGTATCCGGTCATAGGACACTCAGTATCTTGCACAGACAATTGTTTGTATATATTGGTACATTGTTTAATGATGTTCGTAGTAGTTCTCCAAGTTTAAGCTACGTACAGTGAAACTAATTATATTGACGTTCATATTAAACACTCTGACTTTGATAGGGTTTGACAGTTGTTTTGAGTTCCATATGTTCTTCAGTTATAGAAATGCGGCCCTTGCTTTACCATTCCTCGCCTTTACACCTACATCAGATACCCATTGTTCACTGATAATGTCCATGTATGTGGAAGTTTTCACATCTTCCAGAGCTTCTCCATCAAGTGTGATTGTGTTGGTTCTGTCTGTGTTGTATTTGATGATCTTGATTTTTCCATTGTGTATGTTGATACTTACTACCACAGAGGCCGCTGGTATACTGCTTCTCTTGATCTGCATTAGTCGGTGTGTATTGGATAGAAGATTTAAATTATCTGTGAAGTCCAAATCGTCTAGACCCATTCAAGCTCTCCATTGCATTCCGAGCTTCCCCTTAGATGTGAGAGTCTTCGTAATCCAGTCATCTACTCTAATGAAGAGAAAGGGTGAGTGAGGAGGCCTATCCGACACTTGAAATGCATCTGTACTGCTGCCTTATATTCACGACTCTGCAGTATGGTCTATCGTAAGAATTCCGTATGATGCTGACATTGTTTTCAGGTACACCAGAGTGTCGACGAAGGTTGTTTTATCTACTCTGTGAAATGCTTTCTCAAATTCGAGTAAGTTGATGTGTGGTGAGGAATTTCATCCAACTGGTTGCTGTAGCCTGTTGATTCAGAAGTTGGACATTTACTGAATCTCTCATCTGGTTCAATATTACCCTGTTGGAAACTTTCCGAGTACTGATAGTATTGTGATGTCTCTGTAGATCACACACGTGTTAAGATCTTTTTTCTTTGGTTTCTTGGTTAGATATACTTTTGCATCTGTCAGCATTTGTTCTTCCTCCCAAATCTTCCTAAATAGAACATGGATCATGTTTGCATTTGTTTCTATCTCTGAGTTCAGTGTTTCAGCTGGTATATTGTCAGGTCCAGCTCCTTTCTCACTCTTGATTTTTGTGATGTTTGGTCATTGTGATTTCTTCTATCGTTGGTGCAGCGACATCCATAGGAATTTCTATGTGTGCTGTTTCAGTGGAGTTGGTTTATTCAAGAGTTCTTTAAATTGCTCTACCCACCTGTCCTACTGTTCTTGAATCTCAGTGATCGGCTTAAGAAATAATCACCGAAAACCTTGAAGTGGTAATCATTTATTTCATTCCTACATAACTTTTTTACTAGGATTAGTGATTTGAATGACTTTTCCTGTCAAAACATTTAAAATTAAAAATTAAAATATAACTACAGGTTGCTTTTTATATCTTAAGAATGTATAAAACCATCAGTGTATAACATTCCGCTGATTTATTTGTCAGATAATCATTTCTTTTAAATTTCACAACAACAAAAGTAAGAAGATAGAATGTTATAAATAGTAATTTGCTATTCAATTTTTTAATGACACTGTTTTGAACATTTTTTGTGTATTATAAATCGTCAGTATTATTATTATTATTATTATCTTTCAGTTACAGAATTAATTATATACTCAACTTATAGAAAAGGATGTTTGATCAATGGACAATAAAACTTTGAAAGATTCATAATGTCTCCTGTTTATTAGTTACCTCAGATATACAAACATGTCAACCTCATTTATCTTACTCTATGTTGTGCTGTTTTAACTGTGTTTTCCTTGTATGTATTACGCTGATTATTAACATTATTTCTCGTTTAGTATCGTGATTATGTTGTTTCTTCTGTTTTATTCACTTTTTCGTGATCGTGTACTTTCATTCTTTTTCTATTGCTTTTGGTTTTTTTATTTCATGCGAAACTCGACTTTAAAGCAATATATAAGTGTATTATTTGTTTTGTGATTAAGCACTTGAAATTTTTGTTTTTGGCTTTTTGATTATAGAATATATCTCACAGTGTAAAAAGGTGGCTTATTGTTTAAATTGTTCAATTACCTACTACTAGATTTGAGGTTCCATTGTTGCTTCTAGTTCAGTTTAGACGGCTAGTTAGTACTGTGGTGTTGGTTGCTTATATCCACACAAGTAGTATATAACGGTGGTCAGGCATAGAATGTATTTCAGTAGAAGGTCGATGAGGAAAGAACGGGAACGGAACGCAATTGGTGTGAAAACGCATGAACAATGGATTGATGTTTGCGACAGGAACGGTCAAGTTTGAGATGACGGATTATATATTTTGTAAATTAACGATCTACTATATGGTTCTCAGATTTCGTTCACTACAGTATCACTAGCTCTCTCATATAAAGTTGATCAGTACTCAGTAACTTAGTTAAGTTATCGTATCTTACAGTTATATATTGAGGCGTTGTTGATCAACACACATACTTGATTTTGGACTTGAGGGGAAGTTATAAAAGAATGGTCATAAAATTACTATTCAAACCTATTTTTATCATTTTAAATAGGATGATCTTGTTCGTGATCAAAATTGATAAAGCACTTTTAACTAATGAGAGTACAACTCCAGCACCTCTCGTTTACGTTATTTGTAAGTCATTATCAACATGTTTAATTCTCTCAAAGGAATTTTAAAGCTCGTTCAAACTGATTAATCAACTGCCAAAGTCATAGTTATTGTATTTTTTTTACACTAAACAATAGGTTGTATCATTTTTGGGTTTATATACTGAACAGTATTGAGGTAATCCATCAAGTGTCTGAGATTTGAGTAACATTTTCAAGTATGGCCGTTTTATTAAATAACAGGTCAAGCGTAACAAGGTTATTAACGAGTCAGAGTCAGAATGCTAAGGACTATATGTTCTAACAGTAGGATAATCGCTTATTAAGACGCTAATGAATAACTTAATTGTTAATTGATTGGCTTTCTGTTGCTATTTCGCGCTGTCATTGCGTTATAACTACAATAAGCTATTTTTATTAGATAAATAACACTATTGAAAAGTTTCCCCCTGTAAAAACCAGAACAAATTATTTCATAAACGTTCTACAAGGAAGCAATGTAAATTATCAGCGAAATTCCTCGAAAGTAGTTCTAGTAGCGTGTGCAGATTCAAAATCGATCCCCTAGGTTTAGTGGTACAACTACATATAACAATTGACCATTCATTGACTCCTTTTGATCAACATATCTTGAGGTACCGATCTTACAATCAGACAGTTTTCCTGTCATTCTTACGAATCTTGTTTACTTCATCGTATCTATTTGTTTTGTTTGGTCACTAAACTGTCATAACCTATACATGTTAACCGAACTTGTTTAAAACTAATAACGTATACAAATGGTTTCAATCTAATAAAGCAGTCAAATTAATTGAAACATCAGCCACTTATTTCCTAAATAAAAACCATTAGTTTTGTTAGAACTTATTATATCAGGTTTGTATTTGTATGTTAAATAAGTCAGTAATCTAACAAACTTAAATATTATAAAGCTGCATATGAAAAATCACTGATATTGTGATAAATGTGATAAATATTTTAGAAGTTAAGTCATGTTGGAAAGTATAATCCAATAAGATTTAAATTTGACAGGTGTTTGACATACAAATAAATCTATCAGGGATGCAGTTGTGAGGCTAGGTAAGCTTGTAGGAAGTTATTATCATATGAAAGTAGTTTTCGTCTGGAATTGAGGTCAGTTAACTTTCAGTTCTGGGTGGTTTAGCTAACACCAATTCATGATAAGAATGACCTTAATATGCTATAATTCTCGCAAAACGATCTTGGCGACCTTCATACAGTGATCTTTAGACGGAAGTGATGCTGATAATTCTGGATTATTTTAACAAATATGGAAAAATCACGTAATTGCCAGTCTTAGTCTTGTATAAATTTTAATTCTATCTAATTGAGCATGATGAATTAACTGATTATGTATAAGTTTTCCGTAAATATATAAGGATGTAATTTAAATGATATCTAAAAGTAATGTCCAGTAATTAAGCTTTTGTAACTCCAGCGATATTTTTTATTTCCTACCATTTCTGTGGACATCATATATGATCTCCTAATTTATCTAATTTACTAATAGTAACCCAACTTATTGTCAATTTAGCTATTTATTGTAGATCATCTGTAAATGAATATCTGATAGGAAGGATTTTGTATGTGATCCATATCAAATTTAGCAGATCAATGTAGACTTAACATTCTTATTTGTTGTGTTTAAAAATAACACTCGAAAATTATCTCTTTAATTTTTTATAACTATGGATATTATTTTTTAAAATCATTTAAACACCTACCGTTTGAGTGGAATATGTTAGTGTTGTTGTTTTTTATTTGTTTTATTTTTCTGTGATATAATTGTCATGACAAATAAACGTTACTACAGAAACATTTGTTCATGATTCCGGAAAAAACCCAGTTTATTCCATAAAGTTGATCACCATCAGAAAAATAAAAATTAAGATGGGTTTTATATACTCTGGAAATGATCCCTTCTAGGCAGTCATAACTTTCACTGAACTACTCATTAATTTGGTTACATAAGTATTCTTCAGTAACCAAATTTATACTATTATATAACCTTAAATATTTCCTTATTTCTTCTTTGGTCAATAAAGTTCGGAATTAATGTATGCATGTAATCTAATTGAATATGCATACGGCTTTTATATATATATATATATATATATATATATATATATATATATATATATATATATGCCAGAGTGCCAATACACTAGTCTCCTTTGTACTTTTTTGTTTATACATTTCTAAATGTTTCTACAAACTAATATAAAATTATCAGAAGGGGTTTTGTGGAGATTTTTAGAAATTTCAATAGTTGAAATCATGAGTCAATTGAAGCTAGACCACTATGGAAAACCTGGAAGCACTGAATGGCGGTCTCGTCCTATAGTGAGTGTCCTCAGCAGTGTGCACCCACTATCCCGCCTCGCGGGATTCAGACTTAGGATCTGTCGGTCTCGCGCGCGAGCGCTTAACCTCTAGACCACTGGGCCGGTATCCAACAGTGTTAATGTCTAGCTTCAATTAATCTACAAAATTGAGTGACACATCCACCATTGCCTTCAGTGAGTTACTATCTCACAAAAGACCCGGCTGAACCCCACTGGCCACTGCTTACCACTAGAACTCCAGGATATACCTCTTGAAGCCAATCACTGGTGAGCATATGTTGATTAGTATGAGAAGGGGTTTTGTGGAGTTTGTAGTAATTTAAATAGTCGAGATCATGAGTCAGTTGCTGAATAGTCCCACAATAAAACGAAACGGCCGTCCAGTGCTTCCAGGTTTTCCATGGCAGTCTAGCTTCAACTAACTCATGATCTCAACTACTGAAATTATTACAATCTCCACAAAACCCCTTCTATTACAAATATATTAATTTACTTATAATAAAACCATCTGTGTAATGTTTTAACCAGAATTACCACTCAATACTTACTATATGATCGTAAATAAACTTTGTTTATCATTTTGTATCAGGGTCATCAACAAAATTTGAACGATAATAAAAAATATTCAGTTAAAATCATAGTCATTTTAGCGTCTAAAATGAGTTACTTACATATTTATTTCGTGCAGATAGAATAATAGATGGTTGCAGTTGATACGAAATATATCAAGCTTAATACTAGATGATTTCATCCATCATTTTCTTCAGACCAACAGCTTGGACTTTTTTTATTCGACTAAACGATAGATTTTTTAGCAAGGATCGTCATTCTAGCTGACCAGTCGTACGTTGTGTTATAATTATCAGTTTCTTATTTGGCTACATATTGGTTCCTCATGCTGACAATCTAAATCTAGCTTAGTAACCCGAAATTCCGAAGTAAATCATTACTGTCGAAGGTGACATACTAAAAATTAATGATCTAAACTGTGTAACTCCCTTACGAATATCACACTAAGTTACCGAAAGCAAACTGGCTTGCCTTGGAAGTATTTTGAAGGAATAGCCGTTCAGTTTGAAGTATGGGTGTACAGTAAAATTTTTTATGACAGTTTCCTTAGCTGATTTGTTTCTTATTTGCTGGATAGTATCATGGATCATGTTGAAAATTACTAAGTGGATGCATAATGTAACGTCTTCAAACAAGAACATTCTTATATAAATAGTTACCGTATGTCAGACTTCAATTTCAAAGCACAGTTTGCTTTTTTCCCTCTAAATTATAACTGAAGGATATCAAATCCCAAATAAAACTCTTTAAACCCAAAGTAGAAGTGCTTAATAAAATTTAAGATATGTAATTTAACCAGTGCTTGTACAAGTAAATGTTGTACAGTGTATTTAATTTACCAATACAAATATATAATCTAATGGGTTTTAAATCACATTTTTCTAACATCTACGTTTATATAAAATTGATAAATTAAACCAGCTATTTCATTATGATTGACAGATTATTATAGATCAGCTTTAGTTTCGCGTACTTGCTGTAATATAAGTTCACTTGTTTATTTCAACGGTCTGAAAATACTGAATCATTTTTCATTTGAAAGCATAAAGCTGTCAAAAATGCATTTTTTTGGTGCCAAGTGTTATAACACTAGTCTAACCGATTTCAATGAGGTTACTTTGAGATGTAGTGGTCACTTCGTATATATACAAGTAAATACTGAACATATACTTTTATTCTAGCCATAACTTCAATGCTACTTTTTAAGAAAAATCCCACAAGTTTCGTATCCTTTATTACTAAATACTTTTTAAGCATAACAATTTCACTCAAGTTCTTGATACTAGGTAATATTGGTTAAATTTCGGTTTAGACTATTCGTCGAATCCTGTAAAATTTCCATAGATCTCATTACCATGAATGAGTTTATTTTAAGAAGTATTTATTAAATATTCATTTGTTTTCTTACATTTTGGAATGACATCAGCTTTTTCTTGTGAAAAGTTTGTTTGCTCTAAAAGATAACATTTATAATATCATATAATAATCATATATA